TGTTTTACAACGTCGTTGCCAAGCGACGAAAACCCAACCCCGATGGCAAACACCGAGGGGGGGGTGGGGGGGGAAGGGGGAGACGGGAAGTCACGATTCGAGAAAGCGATAGCGGACGCTTGCCAGGCAACGGTGGCACAAGGGCGGAAACAACCTTCTCAAGCCATCGGCTTTTCTGTCCCTACGCGAGCAATTTGTCTGCCACTTCAATTGCTCTTGATGCCATGTCTCGACAAAAAGTCTCTCTTTGGACACGAGTACCGGTACAGCGATCGACCCCCCCTTTTCAAAGGACACTATGGTTTTCTCTGAAAAAAGTGTCCTTCAACGCGGGGAAGTGAGTGTTCTAACACTTGTACCCCCCACCATCTTGTTCGTACATTCTGCGGGACACCATGTTTCTGAAAGCAATGATGTCCACAAAGCGGGAAAGCGGTATCCCTGAAGCGGGGACGACTGTACTTGACAGTTTTCGTTTTGTCCCTCTCTTAGGACACCCCTTGGCCTTCCTCAACAAAATAATTCAAGCAGGTAACTTGTACACCCCCTATTGCTCCTGTATTCTGCAGGGTACCATGTTCTGGAAACAACGGTGTCCACTAAAGCGGGGACGGTTTTCCGGGACTACGGTAGCTTCGTTGTCTTGCTCTCTCGCGCAGCGCGCGCTCACCCGTGGCCACCACCGACACGCGCATGGTGCCGCTGAGCCCGGAGTCGTAGGTAGACCCCACGATGATGTTGGCCGAGCTGTCGTCGACCTCGTCGGTGACCCTGGAGGCTGCCTCGTCCACCTCGAACAGGGTCAGGTCCTCGCCGCCGGTGATGTTCACCAGAAGACCCTTAGCCGTCTGCCTCGTGGGTGTGCGTACGTTGCACCGNTGGCGGTTAGACCATTGACCACGCGTCCTCGAGAGGACGGAGCATTGTTCCCACAGGACCGATCACCGATGGCCAATCGTTCCTTCCTACTTTGCCAAACGCGGCGCAAACAAGCCTTCCCTAATCTATCTATCCTATCGATATAATTTCCCGCCTTTTCAGCCCACTTCCTACGGGAGGGTGGGAGAAGCACTAGGAAGGAAGGAAGGGAGGTGAGCGTTCCCGCTTGTTGACCAACAGACTCTTTTTGCGACACGGCCTTGACACGTCCGGGCTGCAGCGCTCACATTGTTGGGGCATTACGGCACGCTATGCTACGCGCCCCCAGGCCAGCATTGCACAACCACCCCAACATACGGACTGCGTGAAGAGATACGGTGATCGCCAAAAGTCACCGACCGCCGCCACTGAGCACAACACTCCTAGTCGTATGTGACCTCCACGCATCGGTGCACTTCCGGCGGCCGTGCCTACGGCCCTCTCCGAATAGCCGCCCACCGACGAAAGCTCGAGACAACCCCCGAAACACAGAAAACAACCCGTTGCCTCATTCCCGAGCAAATCGTGTTGGCGGCAAGATTTTGAGGAAAACGAGTTCGCTTTACTGCCCGCGAATCATTGTTGTTGTTGGTGTTGTTGGTGTTGTTGTTGTTGGTGGTGGTGTCTTGGCACTAAAAACCGTTCCGGTCTCCGCTCAGTACCTTCTAATATCCGTACTGGTCCCACTATGCATACGACTTGGAAACGTCAGTGGAGAAACACCGCACCTTCGCTGACAGCTCCCCGAGCAAGGGATTGCTGAGCGCGTCCTCGGCCGCCCGTATCGCTCGACCCTCCCCCTCGGCCTCCCCCGTACCCATCATGGCGTTGCCCATTCCGGCCATCACCGACTTACGGACCAAACACACAGACACACACACAGAGAGGGAGGGGGAATAACGAGGACGAACGTAATGATTCGTGCCATGGTCAATCTTGACCGAGCCCCGCCGATGAATAAGATAGCGGGGAAAACAAAATACTGCGTCCCCACAACAAAAAAAAAAAAAAAAATGAATAA